AAAATAGAGAAAAGCCAAATCTCACAAATGAGAAGCATTGAACCAGAGATTGTTTGACATTTTTGCTTTAGAAATAATTCAATTATAATTTTACTGTCTTTCAACTAATTAATTAAACTAATTCTTGTATCTCTGGTTGCAACTAACTGTTATGTTCATTATGAATTAATCTGTCAATGATTTAATAATAATAATAATAATAATAATAATAATTTAGATTAATATAGTAATTGTAATAATACATTTATTGTCAAATACGTCTGTACAGTAAATGTAAAGTAAAATGATAATCACTGGCAGGCAGCCATGGACAGCAATTGGTGAGGACATGGTCTGCCATTGTAGTTGTTGTGCAGAACCTTTATCGTGATGTATATTGACATCCAACTCTTGCCAAAAGTTCAATCTCCATGCAGCATTTCCAGCAATTTAATTATTTGTAGGCAGAACAGAACAACAGCCTGTCCAATCTTGTTCTCTGTATGTATACAGGAATATAAAACAATGCACGGTGTTTTAGGAGTGAAGAAGAGAGGAAAGGCTACAAAGAGTGCAGCAGGTGTAATAAATATTTGTAGGGACAGAAAAGGAAGGCAGGAAATTAAGAGGGAACAACTGAATTATGTTGTATGTGCAAATTAAAATACCAATGTATCATACATTTCACCGAAGTCAGTGGTCTCCAGTAATAGTTGTATTTATGTGAACTATTTATTTTTTGCATGAATAAAAAATTAAAATCAGTGGAACATAAAATATATGCAGGATCATCATTGAAAATACAGCCCACAAAATATAAAACTCAAACACCAACTGCAGCCATCCCCAAGACTGTCTACCGTTAAACTCCCCAGTACGAATCATAACCGCCATGGATTTCCCATATCAGTGACATGCAGATGGATGGAGACCTATTTTGAGGATGTTTACGGACCTACTCAAGAGCAAGTATGTTTGTGAGGTTCATGTGAGTGATCTGGTTCTGGAGTCACAGCTCCTTTCAGACCACATTGTGGCTCATAAAAATAAATAAAAGTAGATCCCAGAAAACAATAAAAACACCAGAAATCCACAGTACCATGAAACTATATATAACTGGAGTCTGGTCAGTTATGTAGCGAAAACACTCTCAAAAACACTCTACCTATTTGCCAGCAGATTCTGATTCTTCTTGGCTGTAGCATTAATGAGACATTAATGCTTCTATGCTCTCAAGTTTATGAAATGGATGAGACAATATCCAGCAAAAATGTCATGAGTCATTAAAGTAAGTGCAAACCAACATTGTTGACACTCGGTACGGCTGGAGATAACTTTTTATCTAGTTGCATCTGTCATTTGTACAAAAATAATTAGGTTTGCAATTAAAACAACACATTTGCCATTTGTTTTCTTAATGTTATACCTCTACTCAGTAGAGTCTACTGTATTTCTTCTAATGCTATTTTGTTCCACTCTGTACATGCTGCATTCTGCTAAAGCGGCCTTGTTTGTGTGTGTGTGTGTGTGTGTGTGTGTGCGAGCAAAAAGTTTCCCTCTGACAAAGTTTAGTTTTCACTGGCCAGATAACATAAGTCTTTAGTAAAGATGTAACTTTTTCCAAAAACATTAAGAGTGCACTGTGACTTTCAATGTAGGATTATGTTTTCACCGATGATGTTTATGTTCCATCAGTACATATAAATGTCTCATTGAAAGAACTGTCATGCTTTTATTTGTTTCATAAAAGGTCAGATCTGAGGAGAAACAAATCAATGCCAAAGATGGCAGCTTGTAGATTGCCTCAGTCATTTCACTGTGATGTGCTGAGTACTAATTTCGCTGTCTCTTGGGATGCAGCCAGGGATCATAAGAGACAGCAAGGACAGAGAAGGGTCAACAGGGCTTGCTGACCGGACAGACAGCAGCACTTATCCCATGACGACAGAAATCTGGATTATTGCAGCTCTCATTTGAATCCCCTTACATCACATCACTCTGAATCTGGTCTCTCTACTATGTCCTAAAACTAAACCATGGACCTTTCCCCCACATTTAGTCCCAATAGTATTAACGGACAGTGTTGCCTTGTGGATAAAAAGGCTGTCCTTCAACTGGAGGTTCACCTGCTGAGGTTTCTCTGAGCACAATACTGAATCACCACAGGTCTTGATTCAATATTCAGTTGATCGTGCACTCGGACCTTCTCTTATCGTGCTGCAGGAGTGAATAAAGTGGTGACATTATCATCACGCAATTACAAAGACTTGTGAGTACATCAATGCAGAGCAGAGGTAACATGCACAGCCAATGATGCACTATGGTTCTAGTTAATGTCTACGCTGACTTTTGGAGGGAGCAGATCACTCCTTCCTTGCTAGCTGATATCTGCTAACTCTCTTTTTTAACACATTAGATCCAACCTCACTGCCACTGTCTGTGTTGTTGTGCATTTTTTGGTTTTATCTTGGTAAATACTGTATATTGTAAAGATACTCCACATCCTCAATCTATTTGTGATTGTTGATTAGACATAACTGGTTAATAAAAGGCAATTAATTAAATGTTTTTTTTCTAGCATGGTTTTTACCTATATAGGATTCAGGCATTTCTTTGCTGGACATGCATGATTGCAAACAAACAGTTTCTAGGAAATTGGCAATACATCTCGTTCTAATTAAGAGGAATTTCAAATTGAGCAAGAAGCTTTTTGTGATAACACTTTTTTGTGTTATGACAAATTTAATTCCAACATTACCAAAAAAATCTAGCATTTTAAGCCAGGTTGGTTCTAAAAGCTTATAGGGGTCAATAAAAAAAAATATATTGGTTCACTTTATTACACAAGGCAGAAGGGAGCACATGGGTAAGGACAATAGAGACAGTTTTCTCGGTGGAAAATATAAAATTTGATATGTTTTTGTTTACAGCTTTCTCAGAGCACCTCATACATTTATGGCAACCTCATATATTTTGTGCCGGTGGGTTGGCAAATTTGTCTAAATGTCAATAAGCAGAAGAATTTTCATGCTATATCATGAGGCAGACACGGGCACAAATATAACAGTGCATATAAACAAAAAACACTGACTGTGGATTCTTTTAAGCTTTCAGATAACTGAAATTCTCAAGAAGACCAGAAGAAAGTAGAAAAGAGGTAAAGTACAGATGGTTCCTCACACAGTTAACAGCATATGTGGTTACAGATGTGACCGACTTCATAGCATGGCGTCAAATTCCACCATGACTTAGTTAGACAGGGGTTAGTTATCAGTGCATTCACAGTGTGATATCACAGAACTAGTGTACACATTAATGGAGCTTCTCCGGCTTTTGATGATTTATAACAAGTTACGGGACTGCCAGATTCTTTGTCCTTCCCTTCATCTTCAAAGGATTTAATCGGAGTAAGTGAAGCATAGCAGCTGGCAGACTGAGCACACATCACTGCACAGCTCTTGATGACTCAAACACCACACTGCAGCAATCCCCAAGACCAGTCTACCGCTAAACTTCCCAGTATGAATCCTAACCGCCATGGATTTCCCATATCAGTGACATGCAGATGGATGAAGACCTATTTTGAGGATGTTTACGGACCTACTCAAGAGCAAGTATGGCTGTGAGGCTCATGTGAGTGATCTGGTTCTGGAGTAACAGCTCCTTTCAGACCACATTGTGGCTCATAGTTTGAAATCCAGAACAGGCCTGCCCGGTCTCTCTTTAATCCCTTTACAGAAAAGGATGTGGTCAAAATCAACAGTAAACATGAAATAAGCAGACAAGTGGATTAGATGGAAGGAGCCATCTATTCAAGTGACTACAATAACAAAGGTTTTCGATACACTGTTGAGTGTCAGGATGATACAGAGCTCTATTAATTTCTCTCTCTCTCTCTCTCTCTCTCTCTCTCTCTAGGAGGATGGCGATGTACCAGGATGGATGAATATTCTAGCAGAATATTAATAAATGATGAGGGGAGGCAGTGTTGAGAGGCTCACAACACTTTGGATTGCTCAACTGTTGTTTTTGCATCTTTTCCTCCACCCATGTACAGTATGTCTTCAGCTGGGTTCTCCCATGATGCCCTACTTCCTCCTTCATGGGCCTCAGTCTCTCCTTCCTCTCTGTCTCATTCCTGACTTCTCACCCTGTACTTGTGCCTATAACCAGCTGACCGATGTGGACATATACCTATCACAATATATTTGACCGAGAAACTTCAATATCAACAATGTCACTGTTGGTACTTTATTAACATATTTACAGATATGGTGAACAAGCTACTCAGCTAAGGCACTGAATTCAATAATAGGGTTACAAATAGCGCAGAGTTTGTTTGTTTTCCAGTCAGCCACTGCAACACATTAAAGGTGTGACAGCTAGGGAAGAATGATATCAAGTGATGGGCTTTGTCTCTGATACGTAAAAAATCCTAACATAGTGTGAAGTGTTTGAGTTACTCTCTCTGGAACAGAGTTTATTGGCATTGTCAACAAGGACTGGTGTAAGCTCACAAGCCAATCAGAATTTTAGCAGAGGATTTATGCTTTTGCAATGTTCTACCATACAGATGGATATACTGAATAAAAACATTACAAATACAAGCTTCAATGGAGTCATAAACACCAAGCAAAGTCACTTTGCTAAATAAACCTCCACCCTACAACATATCTTCACCTCCCATATTTTCCCCATCCTTTTAGCCCTTATTCCTTCTCCTCATCACCTCACATCATTGTTTGTTTCTACACCAGAGTGTCATGACTCGTGGACAGCCAGGCAAGTTAAGGAGCTCCCTAGGGCCCAGAAGTTGCTATGTGTGCCTGCTCAGTGCATAAAAACAGGTCTGAGTATACCAGTACACAGAAACACACAACATTGGGTAGTGGTCATCCTATCATTACTGTCATGTCTCTACAATGTGCAAAACTTGACTATTTTTCATGTGACACTATAATAATTCCTCCCACACTGTTCACTATAGCATTATACTGTAATAACCTGCCATGGCAACTTACTGATATCTGTAGGTAGGCAGAGCAGCTCTACTGTTTGCTCCAGGCGATGACCTAAAACACAAAAGGAGAGAGAGCATCAAGCTGAGCATCAAACTGACAACCCACATGAAAGACAGACAGTCCAACATGAATATTGAGCTTTGATGTCTTTCTTCTTCGTGATGGGGGGTGATGAGGAATGGGATTGTTTGGGTCATAGTGGTAAGAGGACGTCTGGTGAAAAGAAACAAAACAGGGACACAGTGGGAGGCTGTCATTTGACTCTGAGATAAGGAACCAAATTCATAATAGAAGCCTTTGCAATTTCATCATGTTAGGCAAGAAAATATGTTGTCCAAATCCTGTACAAACTTTTCTGACAAACACTCAGCTCTACACAAATTATACAAAATTGTATGGGATATTATAGTCCACTAAAGGTTTAGAAAGAAAATCTAAATGTTAAACCAATACTTGCACAGTATATAATTTGTAATTGTTAATCATACAAAACAAATAAAAACAGACGTATGAAACTTAAGCAAACAACACTGAAAAATATTGAATATCTGATCTGCTCTAATCAGCATCCACATCTAGCAAAATGAGCTTGAACCTTGAGATGTGCTTCCTGAAAGGGTTTTTATAATTATTTCCTTCTTTTAGGAATTTTTCCACACCTCTATTGTTTGAGACAGAGGTATGGTTACATGAGAGTGACCGGCCAGCAAGAATATTTCAGAGCACGAGTTATAGCAAACCTAGTCAAACAGCAACATTAGCTCAGCTGTATTCTCCCAAACTCTGACAGCAAGGCTTCACCATATGTCACTAAGCCAAGGCCACATGTCACATCTCATCCTCACGGCCTGTGTCCCCTTGTGACAGCCCCAAGTTGCTGTCTCCACTCAGCAGTTGGATCAGATCAACCAGAAAAACACACCAGCAGCATACACACTGTCGGTGTCAGTATGATAGCTCTTTTGCAACAGCCAGTGGGGGGTGTGTTGTGTGAATTGATGAGGTAAGAATGAGGCTAAAAAAACAGAAAGGTATAAAATGTGGTGAAGACCACAACAGTGGCAGGTATGTGCCAACAGAATGGCTAATCTGCCGTGATTCCTAAATGATACCAAGGGATTTCCACTTGGCTATGCAATCATTACTCATCAAAGAAAGACAGAAAAAAAAAAAAAAAAAACGCTTCAAACACAAGAACAACAACTTATATGTGTTCTCAGCAGCGATGTATTAGTTTTATCTGTCCAAATGTTGGAGAGAGGAAATAAAGAGGAGAGCAAAATGGTCTTTTGAAGTGCATGTGATAAACACTTGCTGACTCATTTTCCTAAGGGAAAAAAAAAAAGTTTGGTAGAAAGGAGAAGAAGAGAGAGCAATGCCTGAGAACAAAGCCGAAAATAGTTTGGAGGGAAAACTGTGCTCCTCCAACACTACACACAACAAAACCTCTGATAACTCTAACCTTAACCCAAAAACTGAGTCTTAATCCTACGATTAAGAAATTGTTATTCTTCTGGGGACAAACTTTTTGTTTTCAGGTGGTAGGTGAGTCACCACAAAGTCATGGTGTGAACAGATTTTTTTTTGTCCACAAAAGGTGAGAAATACAAAGTAGATACAATGACAATTTCTTTCCCATCTAACCACTGCTGTAGTTTACCATGGCTCCCCTCCTCCTACTTGAATACAGCCTTGAGGCTTGTATTGGTCCCACAGGTCCAACTCACACTGCAGCACACTGCAGCTATACAGAGTTTGAGACAAAACACTCAGCAGATCACACTTAGAACAAACCCAAAGAGTAAAAAAAAAAAAAAATAGAAAGGGGAGATACTCAAGTTAGTTGCAGTCTAGGAATCTTAAGCTATTATAAAGCCTCATTCAAAGCAACCTATAATCTTAGATGTTGTGGAGCAAAAAACACAGGTTCTTTATTAGCCTATATCCAAATGCATAAATCACAATTTTCTATTAATAACAGCTAGCTGCTTTTATTTCTGCTTTCCTCAATTCCCTTACCAATGTCAGAGATCATTCCTGACTAATCAAGAGTTGTTTTACTGTACTGTAACAACTGGTTCTGAGCATTCAACCCAGAAATTAGACAGGCAAATCAGAGTGCACATGAGCATGAGACTGAATACAAAATAGATATTTTACAGAGAAAATTGAGCAAGTCATTGGTCCATGGACAGATTATAAGAAACATTCACAACCTATAACCCTCCCTCCTTTTTCTAATCTGACCTCAAGACACATAACAAAAAAGGAAATTATCCCACACAAGCAGCCCTAAATGATGATAACAATAGGCTTATTATTATTATAATTAAAAAGAGCATCCTTCATTTTTGCAAAGGCCCAAATCAGAGTAGTTTCATGCCATGTAATAAATTTAATTGGTCCTAATTCAGGCTCAGCACTAAATTGTACTATAGACCGCCAACGCCATGTTGGTTCTCAAATATAACACATAACTCTACCACAGGTTGTGGCTCACACTGCCACCCTCCAAAACAGCAGTTTGTTGAAAATTATGACACAGTTCTAGTCTTTTGGATTCCAGCCAGCAGAGTGCCATATTTCCCGGTGCCAATACAGAGCAGTAACCCTAGGTGTTATCTGACAAGAATCTAACCTCCATCCACTGCCCCCCATCCTGCCAGTGCAAGCAATGAGGCCCAGATGATTAGGAATGATGGTACTTTTAGCATCGTTTTATGTTGTTTGCTGAGCACCAAAACTGAATATCCACCCCCTGCCTATCAGTAATGTTCCTCCCAACTGCACACTTCCATAAAGTGTTTGTCTGTTATCATCACCGGAAAAGTGAGACTGGTTTAAAAAAAAAAGGACAGAACCCGCCGTCTGTCACTGATACTGATCATTCTCGCTATGGCGGATAAGTTGTAGACATGTCTAAATTGGAGTTTGTGAGTTTAATTTTACATGGTATCTAAATAGTCTCAGTCTTAGTTTCACACTTCTCCTTCTGTCCATACATGTGCAAGTATGCCTGCAGGTCACATACACCGATAAGCAGCCCTCATATGCAACAAACTGTGATGCACTGTGTGTTCTGACACCTTTCTATCAGAACCAGCATTAACTTTTTCAGCAGTGTGAGCTACAGCAGCCTTCACTCCCCACGTGCATCAATGAGCCTTGGCCACCCATGACCCTGTCTCCAGTTCACCACTTTTCCTTCCTTGGAGCACTTTTGATAGGTACTGACCACTGCAGACCGGGAACACCCCACAAGAGCTGCAGGTTTG